CCCTCCATCCAGTCAGACATCCACAGTCAAAACCAGACACTCCCAGGTGAGGGAAGATCCCGCCCGCGCACCAGCTCATGCTCTTGGTACCGGCTGGGGCCCACCCTCCACCAAACCTCACACTGCAATCACACTCTGCCCCCCTGCATGACCTCTCTCGCTGGTCAGCAGGACGGGCATCCCATGTACTCACTCATACCTCCTGTCTCTCACCCAGGAGGTAGATCCTCACATCCTTATATGCTCCCAGACTCCCTCTACCAAGAAGGAGTCCCAGATTCACACTGGAGGGACCCTACGGCTCTCCACTGGTGCTGGGTGGAATTAAGTAGGGGTGGCTAGATACTGAAACCCCAGTTTGCCCCTCTTGAAAACAAGAGTTGTTAATTAATATGCTGTCCGCTCTCCCCCTCCCCCCCGCTGCCCAACTGTTCCTCCAAAACTGAGGGATCTTTCTCCACAGTCGGACAACCACTCCACATCGGGACCTGCTGGGGTTCACTGCACTGTACTGGGCTTGCTAGGTCCTGCTGAGCCTGCTAGGCCTAGAGTCCATTGTACTGCTGGGCCAACTGGGCCTGGGGCTGGAAATGCTGTGCCGGGTCCCACCAGAGTTCATTGCGTTGCGCTGCGGGTCGCTGGAGCTTGCCACACTGCACCGGGGTTCATCTGGACTCACTGCAGCTCGCTGCACCCCACAAGGGCCATGTTGTCTTGAGGCTCACCGCAGGTCGCCACTGCGCTGGGGCCTGTCAGGACTCTCCGTGCTGCTCCGAAACTCAGTGGGCCCTCCACAATGCACCATCACTCCCCGCGGCCCACCACACCAACCCAGGGCTTGTTGAGGATTGCCACCCACTCCCTGCTCTGGGGATCGATGGGGCCTGCCGCCCCACACTGAAACTGCACCAGAGCTCACCCAGGCCTGCTGCTTGCTGCTCGCCCAGTGTTGCTGCTCTCCGCCTCATTCTCCACCACGCTCCGCTGCTCCGTCCCAGGGGTTGTGCCTGAGGTGACCCATCCGAGGGGGAGAACCCCTCCAAGGTCTCCTCCACACCCAGTTCACCCTAGGAGGTG